TATATATATATATTAAAGAAATGGTTGGATGCTATTATACGAGCCCTTATCATCTCTCATGCGTCTAAGAATTCAAATATCACACCCTACACTCGGGGGAATCAAACATTAGACCAGACAAGAGGGGGCTTACAACTGACAAATAGATGTTCGACCAATTGATCTGTGTACGCAGCGAAAGATTGCTTGAGGTTTTCTCATACATTTTGATATTTAATGAGAATTTTCAAAATGGATGAAAGGTGGTGGTTCATTGGTAAATAAAAAGTTTCGCAAGAATTTTAAATTAATATAACCCTATTTATTATCAATTTCCTTATCCAAGAAAAAAAATCGTTTTTTTAACAAAGGAATGATGGGCGGCATTCAGGAAGATCTACCAGCGCTACTGCGAAGAAATGGAGGAGCTTTCACTGGCGATAGCAGAGCTAATTGGGATGAGTCTCGCCGGCGACCGCGGGTGGTATCGCGACTTCTTTCAGGACGGGAGCGCGCTCGCACGCTGCAATTACTACCCAACATGCAAGCAGGCGGAGCTCACGCTGGGGACGGGCCCGCACGCCGATCCCAACGCTTTCACTATCTTGCAGCAGGATGAAGTCTACGGCCTCGAAGTCTTCACCGGCGGGCGGTGGTGCTCCGTTCGTCCCATCGCCGGCGCTCTCACCATCATCATTGGAGACACCTTTGAGGTATTTTGAGTACTATACCCGGCCCACCTAAACAAAATATTAAAGCGAAACCGGAGAGATTATTGGAGTATAACCATGAATATTATTAAGAGATTATTGGGGGCATTAATTCCAATAATGCCGCAATAACCCCTGAATAACTCCCAAATAACCTCGCGGTTTCACTCCAATAAACGCTCCTTAACCTTTGCATTTATACTTCAATATCTCTTTGCGCAACCCCTCACAATAACTTCATAATAATTCCCTAATAACCTAATAATCTCCGAGGTTTTACTTCAATAACCCCAATAACCTTCACGAGCGTTATATTATTAGAGTCTGCACGTAATTCTCCGTACATGTTCCGTATATAATAATTTCTAGTAAAATTTATTGAATAATATCCAGATTATTCTCCCAATAGTAATCTATTAAACTTAATTTTAAAGAATTATTTTGATATTTTCATAAACTCTTATAATTAAAATGATAATGGAGAACTATTTTGATAGTTTTACTCTATACTTTTGTTTCCAGCCGAGTTTTACTCGATCGTCTGCACTTCCATTCAATTAAAAAACCAAAAAAAAATGAATTTTGAAATCAAAATGAAATCACAGCCCCATTAATAAATTTGGATTGGAGCTGCAGGCGCTGAGTAACGGAGAGTACAGGAGCTGCGTCCATCGGGCGGTGGTGAATCCATTCAAAGAGAGGAGATCAATCGCCTATTTCGTCAGCCCGAGGAATGAGAAGGTCATCCGCCCACCGCCGGAGCTAATTTCCGGCGACGGCGATAGGAAATACCCAGATTTCACCTGGTTGCAGCTGCTGGAGTTCACTCAGAGTAGCCACCGCGCGGACGACAAAACGCTCCGCTGTTTCATTGATTATCTCCGCGCCTCGCCGGCGGCCAACTGATCATCGACGGGAAGTCATTTAATAAGTATCGCTGATGATAATAATGAGCGCGCACAACTGCGTATGCTTCTCGGCTGGTCGAGAGTATCTGAATGTACGAGGGTGTGTATTCGTGGTCTGTATTATGACGCCTGCATAAAGTTGGATTTTATACTCTAAATTTAAAAAATAAGATGGGAAAACCGCGTTCAGGAATAGCGGGGACAATTATTACTATTTCTGTAAAATTCAAATAAAATTAAGTGTATTTTACCGGACAATTATTACTATTTCTGTCAAAATGGCTCGTTGTTTGTGAACATCTCGTGTTCGGCTCGTTAACAAGTTTATGTTCGGCTTGTTCGCTAAGTTTTCGTTGGTGTTCGGCTCATTTTGACTCGAAATACTATTAATTATATATATATATGTTTAGTAGTCTTTTTAAAAAAATTAAATTGACTACAAGACTACAAAGATTTGTAATCAATTAAAAGTATTAATTAAGAAAATAGAATAAAAATTATTAAATTAGATTCAAATGATATTTTAAATCTTGTCTCAATCTTTAATATCTTATGGCTACGTGATTAGGATTGTCAAAACGAGTATTTGTTCGTGAAAGGCTCATTTTCGGCTCGCTAAACAAACGATCCGAACACGAACACACTTTTGGAGCTCGAAATATAAACGAGTCAAACACGAGCTGAGCCCGGGCTCCCTCTTGTTCAGCTCGTTTACACCCCTAGTCTTGATACAGTTTTGTGTCACAACTTCAATTAGGACCTCCCATGAAGGCCCTCAATTTAATATATGGGCAGGCTTACCTATACATGTGGCAGACCCTAATTGAGATCCTGATGCAAAACTGAATCATGACTCCTGATACAATAATTTTTTGTATTTTACATGGGAATTATTGTAAGAAAAAGTTTACAAAAATATCCCAACTTTTTTTATTTACATGTATAACCCGTAAACGTTCATATTTACGTATTTAATACTCAAATTATTAATACTACATTAAAAATATCACTATTATTATTTATAGAGTATTTATATCAAATAACATTTGATAATAATAGGCTCAGTCTGTATCAGTGTAAGAAATAAGCATATTGAATTGGGCTAAAACATTAATTTTTGAATCATGTGAGCCGAGCCTACTAAAAATATTTGAACTCACTGGCCTATTTACATTCCTTAATATAATATGTAAAAAAAATTTAATATTTTTTAAAAATTTAGACAATATATTCTCTTACACAACCTACAATAAGGACAAACAAAAATAAGGAATAAACACTGCAATAAAACATAAATACAACCATAAATTACAAATATAACAACTTTTGCTAAATTGCAAATATCCATCCAATATCCATTCATGTTTAAAGCCCCAATTAGTTGCAAGTCATGGAAAAGTGAAAACAAATTGGCGAATCATGGGCTTGTATTCGCCTCAATTCAATTAAGGGTCTGTTTGGAGCAGCTGTTGAATATTTATAATCTGCTGATAAGCAAATTATTCTGATAATCTGCAGATTATCAGAATAATCTAATAATCTGACAGAATAATCTGACTTGTTGTTTGGGGCAGCTTATTCATATTAGCTTATTGGTGGTTAAATAACATTCCTTGGGACAAGTTATTCAAAATAATTTATTAGTAGTATGCACTATATGATTCTGCGTTGGTTAATTCCTTTATGCACTATGTTTCTGTGCTACTAATAAGTTATTCTGAATAAGTTGTCTCAAACAGTTTTATTATATAGGAACAGGAATGTCATTTAACTACCAATAAGCTAATATGAATAAACTATCCCAAACAGCAAGCCAGGTTATTCTGATAATCTGCATATTATCAGAATAATCTGCTTATCAGCAATTATAAATAATCAACAGCTGCACAAAACAGACCCATAAAGGAATTAACTAACGTAGACGCAGTGCGGGAGGCTAACGTCGGTGTGAACACAATTAACAAACAGAACGCTGCTGCTCCCAATAAGCTGCCCCAAACGGGGGCAGCAGATAGATTCACTTTTTCTCTAACAACACATTGACTAATTAATAGACGTCGAGGCAAAATTCATCCAAGCTGCACCTTGTTTTTTGCTTTAAAAAAACAAGTATACCATGAGAATGATGAAGAAGGACGAGATCGCCTCCAATGTTCAATTTAATCAACATCGCATAATCACATGAGAGAAAAATTCATGAAATTTATAGATATTTTGTGGTAAAAGAAGTGGCTACTACACTCTTTATATACTTTGTAAAAACTAATCATTTTATTTGAAGGGGGAAGTGTCACTCTAAAGTATCTTGTACACTAATCAGTGTTCTTAAGAGGATGAAACCTATTACTAATGTAGTTAAACAGAGCAAGGTTTTGAGGTCTCAATCATCATTTGGCATCAATATAAAGAGGCATTCAATGACTATATGAAAAAAAAAATCAAAATAGACCTCCAAATTTGCCTAAATTGTAAGGAACTATTAGCATTTAAGAAACTAGTTGCAAAATCTTTTTTAGAAATAAGAGTTATAATAGTATGATTAATTCTATTATGAAGATTAGACGAAAGAAAAAAAATACTTAACAATGACAATGCAATTAATACCATAAATCTCCTAAATATCTTTACAAAATTTAGCTGTAAAACCATCATGGTGAGGGGTCTTATTAGACCCAATAGAGAAAAAAAATTTGCCAAAAATCACATCAAAAAAATCAAAAGTAAGATAAGAGCATTTTTCATAATTTTAAATATGATTAACCGAAAAAGCATTAGAGTCGCGGGCTTAATTATTAACAAGACAATTGAAAGCCTCATAAGAAATTGATACAACTTCTCTAGAAATATTATCTTGAGTATTGAAAACCAAATGATTGACAAAAAAATTTCTTAATAAATTTTTGACAACTTTTAATTTTAATTTTGGGAAAATTGCACACATATCACCCAATTCTTATGGATTTATCTATCTCAAACTAAAATTTCATTTTTACACACATACAACTTACCTATGGATGAAAAGATGAATTTGACTATTAAAAGATGATATTGAGTGCTAATTTTCATATGATATTCGTAATTAGAAAAGTTTAGGTGTGAGATAGTTAAATATGAAAGTTTTTTGTGCTATGTATGTAAAAGCCCCTTCAATTTTTTTTATATAAAAATTGGACATCATCATCACCATTAAAAAGCCAATAGCATTTCGCTATTTGTTTTAACCAGTTATATTCATAATATAAATCATCCGCTAATTAGGATTGAATAATAATTATCTATTCAAAAATAGAACTATCATCCAGTTTGTTATCCACAAGAGACATAGCCATAGGTTGTTGATTCTTTAAAGAATTAATATTATTAGAAATAAAACTATTACAAGCCCAAGAACAATTTTTAATACACAAGATAACTTTAATACTCAAGTAGAATTCACAAAATAAGTAAATTTATAATAACAGATTCAGTAATTTTTGTACATAAATCTACAAAGTGACTTATGAGAATTATCAAAATAAATAGCAATAGAAAAATGATCTAAAGTTAAATATTCAAAAATCATAAGAAAAAATGGATAACTTTTCTATCTGAAAATCATTGCAAAAAGCTATATCCAACAAACTCTTTATAGGAAATTATTTTTGTTGATTAAAGCAACTAAAAGATAATTCCTTATAAGGAAGGTCGATAAGCCTAGAGCTAAAAACAAAGTTATTAAAATCATCAATTTTACATGGTAATGGAGGAGAAACTTCAATTTTCACATCAAACTTTGTAATGCTATTAAAATCACCCAAAATAATCGAAATTTCGTGAATGTTATCAGTTAAAGAAGATAAAGAAATCAAAAGATCTTTTATACGAGTGACATTATTATCAGTATAAGTATATGTAATAATAAATTACTAATGAAGAGAATGAAATAATACCATAAATAAATTGAGCATGAAAGTTAAAAAACATAAAATTAATAGTAGTAGAATTCCATTTAATCCAAATTCTACTAAAATAAACCAAATAAAAATTAGAACTCTTTTGAAATGGCGATAAAAAAAATTATTGGAAAGAAAAGGATCAAAATTCGTGGCAAAAGAAATTTTGGTTTACAATAAGCAGAAAAGATCCAAGTTAAAATTCAAAATAAGATGCATACAGTCAAAAACACGAACAAAATTATTAAGACCTCTAACTTTCCAGCACATAAATTTAGGAAAAACGATAAAAATAAAAAATAAAAAAATCAAAGTTAATGAGAAGAACCAGCCCTTTTGTTATTCATTTTCTAAGCTTAGGGATAGAAATAGAGGAGGTACCCACAACATGCACATTAGATGAAATCCTAGAATTAATCAAAGTAGAAGACCTATTATAATTATTGCCTCTTTCATAATTTTGGGTCAAAGTAGAACTCTCCAAATGAGAATCTTTAACTGTAATATTGTAATCAGTAGACAAATCAACATGAACATTCACATTAGCATTATCATTAACATTATCAGAATGTAAATTCTCATGATTATTTATTCAAGAATCATTAGACACAATGAGATCCTTATTACTACTATATTAATGCAAAGTAATAGGAGAAATTTTATTAGCAAGAAGTATTTCACCCTCTTCTTTCTCAATCTCTATGTGACTTTTAGCTATATTCACAGTTCATAGGCACGATACTTAAAGTATTAGAAACATGTAATATCGAGGAGCAGATACAGCAGAATCCACAAAAGATGATTGTTTCTAATCCTTTGACTCTAAAAATTATTGTTATAATTCTTATTATTGCTCCTAAAAGTTGGAATCATATTCACTTGAGAAATATAAACATTTTTAGGGAAATGCCAATATCATGCCCAAAAGTAGAACATGTTTTACAAATATTAGATCACCATTCATAAACAACTTGCTGAATAATGTCATGACCATTCAAATTCAAGGAAATAAATTTGGGAAAAGTGAAATCAATATCCATTTGAATTTTAGCACGAGCAAAAGTTAATCTAGATCCTTTGACCATTAAAGAGTCAACAACAAGGGGAATACCAAATTTACTGGCAATTTTTGAACTATCTGTCTTTGACTAACAAAACAGAGGAAGGTTAGACAAACTCAAATAGGAATATCTTTAAATTCTTCCCTTCTATGCTTAAAATTTAGGTGTACAACCTTTTTAAAAAAAATTGTCATAAATAAACCTTGAAGCACCTGATAACACCGAATAAATATCTTCTATACAATTAAATTTAAAAAGAAAGAAACTATAACAAATAGCAAAAGCTCTACATAACCCTTTAGTTTCCAAATCTTACCGAGAGTCTGTAAAAGATTTCCATAAAAAGCTCGCTTAGAGAATAACCAACCAGAGCCACACATCTCATTGCCTTGAACCATCATCAATGTATTGTCTCGGGTACGAAACTTTTCTTCAAAACTGGGAATATATGATAAATAAGAAAAAAAAATTAGGGATGTGAGAAGAGATTAAGTTTTTCAAGTTCAAGGATTGAGAATGTTCCTGAACATAGCAAAAAGAAGAGGGTGGGAAGAACTTGGAACCATGAAAAAATAATGGGCAAAAGCCCCTAAATCCATGATCTCACTAGAATTCGAGAAAGGAGAAACCCTTAGAGCCTTTTCCACAATAAGAGGAAAAGGAGAGAAGGAAAACCAAAATCCAAGAAGAAGACAAAATCGCCAGTGCTTCCCTCCAAAAACTTAAAGAGAAACAAAATGAAAGAATGGAAAAGAAAAAAAACAAGAGAAAACATCCTTGAGAAAGAGAAGGAGGCCTCTCTCGATGAAACCTTAAAATCACCTAAGAGCCGTTATAGCCTTCTAAGTGAAAATTCCTTTAATCTTCACAGTAATCGTGCTAAATCTATTTTTTTACTTTAATCACGTACTTTTTTCTACAGTGAAAAATCTAGAAACAGACTTATAAATCTGAGGACCATGTACAAGTCTCACAAATTCAATCAGGCTCATCAATTCATATTTTATAGTGATCTAACTAAATCTAAGAGCCTCTCATCATGATCAATTTTCTTTCTCTATTTCTTATTCTCTTTTTTATATTCTTACAAGTAAGATCTACATATCATCTATAGTGAAATTTAAATTCAACATGATACCCAAATTAAATTAAAATCAGCAATCCAAAATAGCCACAGCTAAACACTTTATAGAATGTCCTAAAAAAATTGGCTTGCCTTTTCTATTTTTATCACCTTTCGCCAAAATATGTACCTCACACCGTCAATTTAAGAGAATGGACAGTTGATTTTTTGAACTACCAAATCAATGTATTTACACATGTCATGACAAATCATTGAGAATTTGATAAAAATAAAAAAATATGAGTTGCAGCTTTATAATGAATTCCGATTTGAGTGAGAATTTGAAAAAAAAAAGGTAGATTTGTAAATATCCATGTTTTGGGTGATATGAAAGGGATAAAGGCTAATTTCATAAAGCCCTGAAGATAAAAATGCCACTGCGAAGGGCTGTTCATGCTAAATGCTCCCATAGAAAATAACTGTAGGAGGATTACCATGTCAGACACATGCTGAAAATATAAACAAAAGACTTGAGACATTTATGCTTAAACAGAAAATAACAGTAGGACACCAATTTTTTAATTAAATATTTTCCCAAACTTCATAAAGCTTCGAGAAAGCCTTAATTTTCTACTTAAACGACCAAAATTTTAAACATTTATGTAATCAACACTTAAACAATAACTCACAGTTCTGAAAGACATGAACATATTAAACAATAAAAAAATCAACAATCCACATAGACAATTTTATTATCTTACATATTATTGTGTAGTTCATTTCAGAATATAATTTATATTTTGCACCCAAAAAGTTAAGCAACTTGGTGTTGCAGTTTAGATTATCAAGACCTGGGCCAACCAAACATGGCTAGAATCAGCCCAACAATGTCGCCATTAAGAAGAGCCCTCAGAAACTTCTGCTTCTGTGGTGTATATGGTGGATATCTTGCAGATACTTCTCCACCGAAACTCCTGCGCAGAACAGCCTTCTTGTGGCTGAAGGCATCAAAAGAAAATTTTCCATGATACGAGCCCACTCCACTCTCTCCTACTCCTCCAAATGGCAGATTTGGGTTCGCAAACTGCAACGATTCAATCACAAACTTATGAGAATTTAAGATCATGGAAAATGAGTCACGATCATGTTTATAAATACGAAACTAGACCGGTCAGTTCGACCGGTTTAATTGTGAACGGGTTATTCGACCGGTTCAGTCCAAGCTTACAATCGTTTCTGCATAAAACATGTCCAGTTCGGTTTTCAAAGTACCGACCAACTTTAACTTTTTTTATTTTGATTGAATACTAGAAATAAAATATTTAAATTAAAAATGGAGAAAAAACAGTATCTAAAAATTTTGATTTAAAATATTATTCAAAATAGTAAAAAATTGAGTGTCTTAAATTAAAATATTATTTATTGAATGAATAAAAATAAAATTATTGCATAAATTTTTCTATTATTTGTATTATATTAAAATAATTTTAAGATTTATTCCGTCATCCGATTCAACTTCTGGTTCAGAACTTTGAACCTCTTCTTCTTCCGGTTCGATGACCTTTCCGATTTTCACAACCTCACTGATAAATCAATAAGAAAAATCAAGCCATGATTATTTTCAAAATATTGAGCTGAGTTGTTGAAGTATTGGCAAGCAGAACCGGTGGGACTAATATGAATTATATGAAGTGAAAGAAGAAAATAAAATGCTTACATGCATGGTTGTGTCATTGATAAGAATTCCACCAGCAGAGACACTTCTGACAAAATTTTCCTCAAATTTCTTGTTCTGGGAGAAGAGATAAGCGGCCAGAGGCTTTGGCTTTGAGTTTATCACATCAAAACATTCCTCCATATTGTCAACCTTTGCAGATCATAGATGGATAAAACACAAAATAAATTATTAATGCAGTGATAATGCTAGCCAATGTGCATCAGATGGGTATGTTTTTGTGAAATTTACATACATACCGTGCAGTTTTGATGTATTTACATATCTAATACCCAAAGATTGATATTTACACTTATAACACGTTGTTGCCATAAGCCTATCGATGAAAAGGTGTACTTTACTTTTAAAAAAATAGTGATGGGGATATTTTTTATGTTATGTTAAAGATTTGAGTGGGGTATATATGTAAATATGAATGTTTAGGTGTTAGATATATAAATACATAAGATTTATGTGGTATGTATGCAAATGCCCCTTTTTTTAAAGAAAGGAAAGATAAGGAAGAAAGTGCCAAAATGATCCCCAATCTCTTTGCCAAATGATCCCCGGCTCTTTGCACGAGCCATTTTAGCTCCAGCGGGATTATTTCGGCCACTACTAAAAAAATCTAAGGATTAATTTGACACTTCTATAAACTCTATGATTAAAATAGCCCCATACAAAAATCAGTAGACAATTTTGACACTTCTTGCATAAAATAAGTTCGTGAGTTTGACGAAACTCGCAAATTCAAATAAAGAAATATAAATGTTTGAATATGAAAATACAATCTTACAGTGACAATAGGAAGCAAAGGGCCAAAAACCTCCTCCTGCATTATCAAAGAATCATGTGGAACATCTAACAACAGAGTGGGACCAATCTTTCTGTTATGTCAAAGAAAAAGAGTGGCAAGTTCACATAATTATAATATATTACACTTAAAATCTCAGAAAAAATACTAAATTCTCAGGGGGAAAAAAAAAGCTTACAGAAGCTTCTCGTCTCTTGTTCCTCCATGAATGATCTTCCCTGAAACTTTTTCGTCGTCCAAGAGTCGACATACGCGTGCAAAATGATTTGAATTCACTACACGAGAAAGGTCCTCGGACTGCAAAGGATTCTCTCCATAAAATTTCTCAATAGAAACTTTTAGAGCATCAACCTATGAAATGGGAAATGAAAGTAAGAGTCCAACAATGGCATAAAAGCACCAAATTAAACAAAAATTCTCACTAATTTCGGAGCGAATGATTTTGTTGTTATAATATAATCTGGTGCCAAACAAGCTTGTCCATTATTGGATCCCCATTTGCCGACAACAATTCTTTTCGATGCAGCCTGAAATAAAAATATATAAATATAATTTTTAGTATTATAAGGACATTTATGTAATTTAATAAAGCAACAAAAATTTTATTTATGGATATACTTTCAGGTTAACATCAGAGTCCACAACAAGAGGACATTTTCCACCAAGTTCCAAAACTACTGGTGTTAAGTGCTTTGCAGCAGCAGCCATAACAATGCGACCAATTTTTGCATTTCCTGAAAATTTTTCAAACCATCATAATTGATGGAAAGCTGAAACGTATGATAGCCCAGCATTAAAGAGAATGAAGAACTCCAGAAAAATTTCGGCAATCAATAAATTCGAACAAAGATCAGAAATAAAAAAAATAAATCATATACATATATATATCCTCGACTATAGAAAATTGATCTCGTTTAGTATTTGACAAATTATTTTATATAGTTGGAGTCTAAATTTGAGAAATGTGATATTTTGGGATTAAATTAGTTACCCAAGAATAACCGGGGTGTATTTTGAAATTTAATCTCATATATATCTATATCTATATATATATATATAT